AGCAGAGGGGAAATGAAGCGTTTCTGACTGCTCACACCGCATGGAGGCAGGTAATCTATAAATCTAATTTCAGCCTTACCACCGAACCCTGGAGCATAGCAACATTAATTGATGTATCTGCTGCTTGATAAAATTGAAAAAATAGGTCATCAGTTCAGTTCTACAGAGTCCATCTTCTGGGAAGGAGGATAATTTTAGGATCACCATTCAGAGGAGAAAGGAAATGGGTTAGTTCTCAGTTTATGCATCTGTTTCCTCTTCTCCAACTCCTGGACATTCAGGAGCTTTGGAGACTGGCCTCAGCTCTAGCCATGTCAGGGCACCAGGAATACAGTCAGCACATCAGACACATAGATTCTCACAATTCCACTCTCATTGCAGGAATTAGAACTCCTCATGTTCCAGAAGGATTGAAAACACTGTTGATCTTTAAACACATACTTAGTGGGTAGTTCATTAGAATTTATTTCATATGTTTTTCCATGACTGAGCTGTGGGTGCACATTATACATATCCAAAATTAAATATTTTCTTCTTCCCATTAGAATCCAAAGAGTTCAATCTGGGGCTTTTGCCTAATCTTGGGAACAGTTTCCAAGGTTCTGATTAACATCATGTGCCTTAGCTAAGGAGGCTGACATGTTCCATAAGGCCTTCTTTCCTAAAGTACAGCCTTGTGGTTGCTGCTGGTTCATTCACAGATGGTCGTAACTGGAAGAGTCTTGAAAGTCACAGAATGGTGTCAGATGGGGCCATTCTCACCAGGGAAGCTCATCCATGGACTGAAGTTAGAAGATAGCAACCCAGATGTCAGGTGGAGAATGCCAGAGTAGAAGCCCAAAGACCAAGGTGCTGCCTTGGGTTCTGCTCTGAGTCACCCTGTGGCCTGAAGCAAGTCTACTAACTCAATTTCCCAATCTATAAACTGAAGGCATTGAGCTAGATGAGCTTGAAAGTTCTCTTTCAGTTTAAAAAAAAAATCCATGATTCATTCTCTTCAAACAAATCAAATAAGGGTTTCATTTCCTGAAGTGGATTTGTCAATGAAAGTTGAAATACCTAAATCCTTCCTGTCTAATATAAGGGTCAGCAAGTGGCTTGAGTGCATTTGCAGGAAAGCAATTTCAGCAGAAAGCACTTCATGAAGGAAAGAAAGTTTAAATCATTTCACCCAGGGCCGTGTTTCTCCTCTATGCTGTTGTTTCCAAGCTCAGCATGCAGCCAGGTTCTTCCCCAAATCACTGAGGAATCCTTGTTGTTGGTATTTTTCTGTCTTCCTTACTTTGTATGTGGATGTTTGTATCTGCAGAAGTTCTTCTTGGAGAGTCATGCTGATGATCTGATGATAAAAAGCAGCTGACTTTGTTAGAAGATCTCAATATGTTCGTATCATTAGGTTTCACCAAGATTATGAATTCAACAGACAGGGTCCTGTCCATGGGGATTTACAGTTCCTTTGAAGACCCTAAGAGAAATATGCTGCACAGTCCCTTTGCAAATTCTGTAATTCCAGTGGACAAGGTACTGGATGGGAGTTAGAAGAGCAGATAAGAAGAGCATCACTAGTCAGCCATGCCCCTTCTTCCCTTCTTCCTGCCACAACTATATATAGCCTTCTTCTCCACGTGGCATTTGAGGGAGCCATTATAATTGGTCCAACATGAGACATCAGTGCAGGAGCAACTTGCCATTCTGGATTTATATTCATGTTATAACTCAATATCACACAGAGTGATTTAAAATCAACCATTTAAACTTTCTAGACCTCCATTATCTTGTCATGAAATACATAATATTCCCTGCCTTGCCTACTGCAGAGGACTGGTTTCAAGGTTCAAAATATATTCCCTCAAGTATGACTTGCCACTCAGAAATCAAGTAATGGAAGACATCAGTGTTTGTTAATTAACTGATCCAAACTTCAGGCCTATATCATTAAGTCTCAATCATCCACTAGGATAGTTGGGTGGATGGGTAAGGCTGCTATAGATTCTGCCTGTTACCGGTTGAGCTCATAATGCACTGTGAACTGGATTCTCCAAGGTGATAGCTCTAGGATTTCTCCTATCACACCATGGAAGCCTTGAGGAACCCAGAGCTCTGGTCCCAGGCATCTTCAGTCCCTCTCACTATGCACATTTGAGGTACAGGAAAAAGCTGCCTTGCAAGACACTGTGCCCTTGCTGATAGTAGAGTGGTCATTGTCATCTTAGTATCCATGGGCACTGGGCAAAGCTTTTCACATATTATCCCAGTTGATCTCATCAAAACCCAATGAAGAGTGGACACAAGGTTCTGTTACAGATGTGGTAATCTCTGTTCTGGAGGTTACATTGCCCAGGCTCATGAAGGTCATGTCTGGCAGAGCCTGACTGCAGCTGGGCCTGCCTGACTCCAGGGCTCAGACTTTTAACCACTTCTTAGCTCTGCTGGCCCTAGAAATTGAATTTGAAAACAAATAAGATAATAAAACAAGTCTAGGAAAACTTCGATGACTATGGAAAAATATACACACTACGCCACGTGCTTTCAACATTGCTCTTTGCAAAACTGTTTACAGCCACCGCCAGTGCCCTCCCCAAAATGTCAGCTTCTTTAGGGAGACATTCATTTTTAACCACACTGTCACAGAAACTTGCGAAGAGGAAATAACAAACTGAATTGAAAAAACACAACTCGTGAAACTCGCAGCTGAGATATATTTTTGCAATCTACAGAAGTTCCATGACAACTTTCGGAGGGGGCAAATCCCCACAGACTTAAAACATGGTGCTAGCAAGAGGCTGGCTAACTTCTGAAGAAGGTGTTGATTGAAGTTCATTAGTAAGAAAGAGAATTCACATCACTCACTGTACATCCAGCTTTCACAGATGAGCAACATGTGCTAAAAACTAGGCAGAGTTTCCAAAAACAGTTCGGCACTTGCTTTGGGAGCTGGTTGGAAGAAACCATTACAGAGGAAGCTTTCCGGCAGGTTGGAAGCTGGTGAAGATTTGAGGTACAAGCAGCCTGCTGTGTGGAGTGGGTCACATCCAGCATGTTTAGGGACTCTCCCTCTGACAGGAACTCCAGAAGGAGGAGGCAGTGTCCGTTTCTTTCACTCCTTAATTAATCTGGGTCATGGCCCCCCAGGAGAGGGATCCAGCTTGCAGTCTTGCGTGAGAAACAGAGTCAACAGTTCCTTGTTAGGCGTCTTGATTGTTAGTGTTTGCTCTAATACACAGGGTATGTTTATAGTAAGTCTTTTATGACTCCTTGTTAGTTTTTGCATAGAAACATATTTCTAGAACCACATGTATAAATGACATGCCTGCACTTATTTATGTTGAGATAGCATATACAAATGTATCACGTAACATTGCACGTCAGTAGGTGCTCCATGAATGGGAGGGCCTCCCACTGTTGTGCTTCCTGCCTTTCTCATGAGGATGCTGCCTCAGAGAATGTGGCTGGTTGCCCAGTGCCTGTGATCAGTAGTAAGTGACTATACCCAAGTGTCCTGCCTCCTTCCATCAGTGCATTCCGACGTCTGGGCCATGCTTTCCCTATGGAACACAACTTGTGGCCACCACTTGGGGAAGCAGCTAGAGTTGGATTAGATGAGAGAATATGTTCTTAACAGTATGACCCAGGGTCTGTACATCCAACCTCTTTGTGCAGAGCCAGGACCCATGAGGTTTGTGGTGGCAAAAGGAAGGCATAGATTTACTGTTGAAGAGTCTGTCCAACCAAGGGTAGGGCTTCCACACAAGAAGCTGTGAATCCAACAGCGACTGGAGAGTGGGAGTCACTGCAGGCTGGTGTGAGGAGAAGCAGCAGCAGCCCCCATTTGCCAGCAGAGTCCCATGCACCAGGCTTGTTTTGAGTTTCCATGGCTCTTGACTCCATGAGGTAGGTGTGGTTATCCCAATGGAAAGGATGACAGCTCTGAAACCACCCAAGGAAGGCACCTTCAGCATTTACTTTTGGGAACAGGAAGGGATGTATCAATTTTTCCCTTGAGTTATTTTATTAAGGCTTTTTACCTTTCTCTTCAATCTTTAATTTTGGAAACAGGAAGAAATGTAACAATGATTCACTCAAGTTATATTATTGAGGTTTTTACTTCTTTTGTTAAAATTTTCAGCACTGATAGTATTGCAATGACCACAGAGATGGAATTCTTGTCTTCAGAGAGGTTAGAGTTAAACAGAAAAGTCAGGCGCGCACACAGACACACACACACAGATTAAAATTTGCCATATGTGCTAAGAATAGTAAAAGCATGCACCGAAGGATAGCAGTCAGAGAGTGCTAATTACATTTGCCAGCGGGGGTAGTTACATGGGTGTCCTTTCTGAGGAAGACATTTAAGAGAAACCTGAAGGGCAAGTAGATGTGGATTGTCGGGGGAAAACATAGGGAGTGGCATGTGGAAGGGTCCAATGGCAGGAAAAGCTTGGTGTGGGAATAACTGAAAGGTTGTCAGTCACTGTGGCTTCATTTAGCACAGGAGTGAAGGTCCAGTGGCCTAAGGTGAGATGGTAGCTTGTCCCACGGGGTCTCCTGGGCATGCGATCGAGTTTGGAGGTTTTCCTTAATGCAGTGGGAGGCTATTAGAGAATTTAAGCTACAGAGTGACATGGCCTGATTTATATCTTAAAAAGATGGCTCTGGCTGCCATGGAGAGAATGGATTATAGAGGGGCAGGCGCCAGAGGCTATTACAGGTGATGAATGACGCTGACTTGGTTGGAATGGTGGCAGTGGAGAGGGAGAGGAGTGGAGGGGTTTGAGATGTAATTTGGGAAGGAAATCGACAGGGCTTGGCAAGAAAGAGTGGACCATTCAAGGGAAGCTGAGGATGGGGAGGGGAGCAGAGGGCTGCTGTGAGCTGCATGCCTGGCACTGCCAGAGCCTAACAAGCGATGGTCTTGGCACCTTGGCATCTGTGGGACCACTGGAGCCTGTCTTGATCCCAGTGCCCTCTATGTCTTCTCACAGCAAAATGATGGGCAGTTCACGGTGATCCAGCTGGTAGGTATGCTCAGGGGCATCGCTGCTGGCATGAAGTATCTGTCCGAGATGAATTACGTTCACCGGGATCTGGCTGCAAGGAACATTCTGGTCAACAGTAACCTGGTGTGCAAGGTGTCTGACTTCGGCCTCTCCCGCTACCTCCAGGATGATACCTCAGACCCCACCTACACCAGCTCCTTGGTGAGTCTTTCCTGGTATTCTCAGGGAAGTTACAGCATGAGTGACAGGTGGTTGCCTGTGACTGGAACCTGTGCCAGGGCACACTGGACATGACTGGGACCTGAACTGATCTCCCCACTGGGGAAGCCAGATGCTGGGAGGATCATCCCCTTGGGAAAAATGAGAGTAGCTGGTTATCCAGAAAACCTCTTGGGCACAAACTGTGAGGAAGTGTCAGTGACCACTCTGAAAACATAGTGTATCTTGATGAGTGGGAAGAGAAATGTTGGAACTAATGATTTTGGACAATCCCAATAGGTGGACAGTGGCAACAAGAGACATTTGTCACCAAGAAGCAGGCTCAAGACATGCTTCCGGTTTTCAGCCTGCAGTTGGTAGCACCATGTCATGAGGTAGACTCACGACCTCTTTCCCTTTTCCCTCTGTATTGCTTCCAGGTAGCTTTAAGGACCACATTCATGGGAAGTACCCTTGAGTTTGAGTTTTCTGTTCAGCCTTCCTCTCTGCACCCTGAGCAATTCTAATCATCTCTATTCAACCACTTCTTTCAGCAAGTCCACTTAGAACCTTAGCAAGTCTGAAATAGAGCACTGGATTTACCTCCACCATCCCCTTCCCAGCCTCCCTCCTCAGTAGTCAGCAAGAATTAGCTGACTGAAACTGAGCGGTCAGCCTTGAGTTACTCCTGGACCTCACCACTTATGTCTGGTCCCTCACAGTTCCTATAGGCTCCTATGAAATGTATCCCTTTCCCCACTCTGCTATCACGGTCCCATTCCAAGATACCTTCTCCTTTTGCCTGGATTGTTACGGAGGCTTCTTAGCATCTCTGGTTTCCTCTCATTTCCTTATGTCCATTTCCAATGGCATCCAAGTGATTAGTCAGCCTATCTCCTTGCTTACCTAGCTGTCTTCTTTAAAATTCAAAAATACGTTATGAAAAAAGAATTTTTAAATACAGGGAAGTAAAAACAAAAGAAAAACTAATAAATTACTAATAAAAAAACTAATAAATTACTCTACCTCCCCTGAGGTAGAGTTCATAAACTTTTTCTCAAAGAACTCCATGGCAAATACTTTAGGCTTTCCTGGCCAAAAGGCAAAATTAAAAAATATTATGCAGATAACTATATAACCATGTAAAGTGTTACCCTTTAAAAAGTCATAAACATCATTCTGAGCTCATGCACTATAAAAATGTGACTACCAGATTTGATGCTTGGCCCAAAATTTATCAACCCCTGTAAACTACATTTCAACAGTTAAAAGCATCAATGTCAACAGTTATGTTTCCTTTCATGCTTTTCTCTTTGTTCAGAAACATGAAAACATTTTTTTCTATAAAACTGGGATCACACTATGCCCATTTCTTCATTCTTGTGTATCTCTTGAGCATTCTTACTGCCAGACTGATCCTCCAAAACTTTATAAATACTCACTGTTCCTCAGGAAGTTACCCACCTTCCGGCATCCTCACTGGCACTAAAGGTGATCAATCTTTTAAATTTGCTAATCAAATGATGAAAAATGAGAGCCCTTCGTGTTTTAATTTGCATTGTTAACTACAGCTAGATATATTAATGTCTTTTTACATCGTTACTGAGATTCATGTTTTCTTTTCTGTTGTCTATATGTGTCGATACATATTTTTTCTATTGGGCTGTTTGTTGATCTTTGCTAGTGATATTAACCCTTCATATGTCATATATGATATAATTAGTCTCTCAATATATTGTTCTCTTGACTGTTCATGCTATACTTTGGTTTACAAAGTAGTTAGTTTTCATGTACTCTACCTTTTCCTTTTTCTCTTTAGGATTCCTGGTTTGTAGTAAAAGTTCCCTTCAGTGAAAAGTGATACAGTGTTTATTAAAGCCTGTACTTTTTATTTAGGGAGGCTGTTTGATATTTAAATATTTGGCGCACCTAGATTTTATTTTTCCTAACATTTTATTTTTCAAAAGTTTAAGCATGCAAAGAATACATGCCTTTGACTGGAGCTAGCTATGGTTATTTTTCATTTAAGAACATTTGGCATATGATAGAATGCACAAGTTTTAAGGGGACAGTAAGAGTTTCAACAAATGGACACAGCTGCATAAACCACACTCCCAGCAAGACAGGAAACATGCCCCTCATCCAAGGAAGTCCCCTCATGTCCGGTCCCTACTAGGACTCACCCCACACACTGTGTCATTGCAGAGAGCAGAAATTTATTCCTACTTATTGCTGACTTTGTTGTTTATCCATTCTCTTGTTTACAGAGACCAGGGATATCCTAGAATTTACTTTTGAACATATGCTGGGAAGCATATTGCTACCCTGCTTTGTTCAGATGAATAGACCACTATGCTAATGCCACTTATGACATATATTATTCATCTTTTATTGAGTCACGTGTTTATAAGTTCTGAATAAGAACTATGGTTGATTCTCAATTCTACTTCATTTACCTATTTATTCTTATGGTGAGTCATATTGTTCTGATCATAATTCACAAACTATATAATTCTATTTACAATAATTTTAGTGAAATCCTTACTGTTTGGACAAAGCAAAGTATCCCTCCTTCTTTTTTATGAATTAATTTTATTGGTATATTTTAGTATACATAATGTCACATTCATCATAGGGAACTTGTACTCTGACATGATACATCTTAATTCTTTTTTTTTTCCAATTCCCCTACCCTCCCTTCAACCCCTCTTCCCCTCCTTATTTACAGGAGCTTTGTTTCCATTTTTCCTTCTTTTCTAGTTTTTTTCTTTTTCCTTCCTTCTTTTCTTCCCACCCCGCTCCCTCACTCCCCTTCCCATTTTAGCATTTTCTTCCTATCTGATAATTCCCATTTTACATTTTGGTCCTTATTTAGACTTTCTGTTTCTCACACCAGAGAAATACAGTATTACACATGTGTGCTTGGTTTATTTCACTTAAGAGTATGGTCTCAAGATGCACCCATTTACCTACAGTTGTCTCAAGTTTATCCTTCTTTATGGCTAAGTAGTACTCCATTGTGTTTAGAAAAACACACCTTTAAAAAAAATGCTATGACCATTTTCAAATATCTTCCCTTTGTTCTGAGTAGATTTTTTTCTCCTTCTCTTACTAAAGGCCAAGCAGAGGATTGTCCAACTCAGCTATCCTCTTTGCTAACTGGCTCTATTGGCCTCTACATGATCTCTACAGTAGTCAGACCACATTACATCCCTCCCTACCCTATCCACAGGCCAAAGTGGGTAGGCCATAATTTATTTTTTGATTTTCAGCTTCATTCTTTTGCATTCATTTTTCCATGTTTACTATAGAATTACTATACAACAAACACATTAAGCAGACATATACATTCATACATGCACACATATGAAGCCTTAATTTTTATAGTCTCCTCTCAACATACCACTTTTCAAAAAATACATAAACATGTCAATCAAATTATACAGGCCTATTCTCATGCTGACCCCTAGGAGGTACATTCATGCACATTAATATTCCCAATGATGGTGTTACACTTTTTGCTTTAAACTGCTGTATGCATTTTAGAGAAGTTAAGAGGTAAGTGTTGTATGCCAACTCAAAATAACTGGCACTTCTTTCCTCTTCCTTCATCCCTGAGGCTCCAAGTTACTTTCTGATATTTTCCTCCAATCGAAGAACTACTTTTAATATTTCCTATAGTCCAAGCATCTGGCAATAAGTTCTCCCAGTTTTTTTGTAAGGTGGAGGAGGGAGAAATGTTATACATTCATTCCTAATGAATGTTTGCATTCATTCCTAAAATACAATTTGCTGGATGTAGAGTTCTGGATTTATAGCCCTCCTCCCATCACTTTAAAGGTGGTTTTTCATTGTCTTCTGGTAGCAATGGTTTCAGACTAAGTCTCATAGTTATTTGAATCATGGTTTATGTGCATGTGCATGTGTGTGTGTGTGTGTGTGTGTGTAAATACTTATCTGTATAGTCATATTTCTCTAGCTGCTTCCAAGGTTTCTTATTATCTTTGGTTCCTTTAGCTTGACTATGATGTGTTTGGGCATCTTGTTCTTTTTCTCCAAAATTTTTCCTGATTAGATTTTCTAAGCTTCTTAAATTTCTAAATTTATATCTTTTTTGTATTTGGAAAGTTTTCAGCCATACTCGTTAAGTACTATTTTATGTCCCCTTTTCTCTCCTCCTGAGACTATAATTCCATGGTGGTAGTACTTCTGGAACTGTTCCACAGGTTCCTGAGGCCCAGTTCATTATTTTCCGATTTTTCTCTCCCTTTCCTCAAACTTTTTTCTTCAAGGTCATTGATTCTTTCATTGGCCACCTCCAATCTGCTACTGAGCCTCTTCAGGGACTTTTTTGTGATATTGTATTTTTTAGTTCTACAGTTTCTAATTAATCCTTTTCTATACTTTCTAATTCTCAGTTGAGGTGTTTTAACTTTTTATTCATCATAAGCATATGTTTCTTTACCTCACTGAGCATAGCTATAATAGCTACTTTAACGTCTTTGAGTGATCGTTTTAGTATCTGAATTGTCTTTGAATTGGAATTTTTGATTGTCTTTTCTCATGAAAAGATTTTCCCTGGCCCTTTGTGCATCTAGTAGTTTTGGATTATATATATCGTTAATGTTACAAGGTAGAGACTCCAGATTTTGCTACATTGATCCAAGGAGTGTTGATCCCACTTGACTTAGTAGGTAATTAACTTGGTTAGACTCAACCTGCAAATTGTCATGTCTTCAGTGAGTAACAGCTGAGATCTTAGTTCCTGTGGCTTTTGGTCTGTCTCATGTAGGCATGGTTCAAGGATTAGCAAGAAAATTGGGCCCCTTACTCTCCCACAGCCCTGATGGCCACTAACCCCTAGACTCCTTCCTGATTGCTCCAGCTAGATAGAGGATGGGTTTTTCTCCTGGAGTTTTAGTACTAAGAAAATTGTATGGCTGTGACTACCCAACAGCAAAGGTGCAAAGTGTAAAGCTATATGCTGTTCAGTTTCCAGTAACTTCAGAGTTTCCTCTTTTCTTTAGCCTTCTCTCTTCATTTTCCTCTCCTCTTCTTTGCTCTTCCTGACTCTTGTATTTGTTATTTTCTGGGCAGTCTCTCAAAACTACTCCTCCAGATTAAAAGTGGAGCATGCAGCAACCTTTAATTACAGTTCTCTAAGGCAGACCTTACGTCCTCTCTCCTCCACCTTAATTTCCCTACTTTGTGCCGTTCTTTCAATACCTTTTAACAGTACCATCTTCTAGTGCATCTGGCTTTACTTTATAAGTGAAGACCTCATTAATAACTATTAAAGTTTTCTACTTTTTCCTGCTAGGCCCTCATCCTTCATCTCTTCCTCTGACATAATTCTCCACCCTACTTTTCCCCCAGGTGTTCCTGCTCTGTTTGAAATTGCTATTTCTGGCCCCAGGAGCATTTCCTTTCCAACAGGCTCCTACAATAATGAACAGATAAAATTTGTTCCTTTGTGCTTTCTTATGATTGCAATAAACCCCCCTAAACTAGGGAAGAGTTCTGAACTGCTGCTAATATTCCCACCCTCCAAGAGCAAAAGAAAAATGAGACAGGCTGGGATCTGAATATCTGGTGTGATTTACACAACTTCCCTTTTGGCAGATGTATTTCTGAATACTGCTATGTGTGTCAAATAAATATTCTCATGCGTCCGTTATAGACCATTTTCCCCATGTTTGACCCTCACAGGTCACATTCTCATTAATACAGGTCCTGTCTAATGTTACCAAGAGGGAAAAGGGCATACACATACCAGGCAAGGGGCTACATCTTTGATTAACTCTTTGCATTTGGGGCTCACATACCATTCCCAAACCGGATTACCACTCTGCTTTAGCTGACATCAGTGGGTGGAGCTCCCAAAAGAACCTGTACATCTCTGTGCTAGTTCAGTAGAAAATTCTGTACCATCCAACATGGCTTTCGCTGCTAACTGGTGGGAAAAGGCCCACTTGTGCCACTGTGAGCAGTCTTCCTTCTCAATATTCAGCCAGGTCCCTTCTGCTAAAGCAGTGTCAACTTACCGTCTTGCACAGCCCCCAGGCTGTCTCTTGGAGATGTCTCCATCTCTGAGATTGCTCCCGCCTTTACTCAGTCCTGCTCCTTGAGGCCTCTCAGTTTTATTACGAATTGCATTAGGTGCCTCTGATCTCCCTCAGCACCTTCTCCTCTGCCTCCCCTTGCTGCTCCTTCCTCTTGTCTCGAGCGCCCACTCCTCCCACACCAGTGTTTATGCTGCTTCTGAGGCTCACTTCTCTCCAATCTGCCAGTTCCTCCCGCTCCTGCTCCTCCTCCTTGCCTTCTTTCTTCTCATGCAGGCTGATGTTCTCTGCCCTGCTGCTGCCCCTTCTGTGAACCTTAAACAGAGCTGCTCCTCTGGCGTCTGCCCCTCCTGGTGGGAGACAGAAACCATCTTATTCTCAGGCTGCTTGACAGCTCCCACTGTCCTTCCTTGATCTTTGTCCTTCCCCCAGCGCTTCCTCACATGCTGCCCTGCCTGTCCCTCCCCTCATTTCCTGCACTGACTATCTGGATCCCCCGGGGACAGTTCAGCTGTTCACTTCCTCTAGAATCCACTCCCTCTGCTCCATACTCACTTCTAGCATTGCTCTGGAGCATAGGGCATGAAGGGTGCATACTCTCCAGGAACAAAAGTCACCCTGTCCTTGGGGTGACCCTCTGACGATCTGGCCCCATAGCTACCGCTCATATGCTCTGCAGAGGCCTTCGTGTCCTGCGATGAATTTTCATCGTCCCACGTCACGATGTGGGCGGCATCCTCATCCCATCCCTGTCCCCTATCTCTGCCCCATTCTCTACCATTCCTGTGAATTGTGGTCCCAGCTGCTGCTTCCAGCTTTACTGTGCTTTGAGGATAGCATCCACTCTGGCTACCACTGATTCCATACTGAAATTTAGAGAGCTTTTCCTTTTACAAAAAAAAAAAAAAAAATCTGGCCTTCATCCCATGATATTATATTATATTTGGGTTTTGTGTTCATCACTGTGAGTTGGGAAGGGGGAAAAAGACCCTTTTAAGACTTTTTCTCCCACTTGATATGGAATCACCATAGGAGAATTTTGAAGAGAACTCAAGGGTACGAGCGAAAAACTAAGTTTGTGTCCGTGGGCACCTGTGTCTCTCACACTTCATCATCCCTAAGAGTCCCCAGAGTCTGAACCTCTACACTCAACTATCAAATTTTGGAAAAAGAAAGCAAGGGACTCCCTATCAGTATCACACATATGTACACTCACACAGGTACAAGAGAGAGAGAGAGAGACAGAGATAAAGATAGAGACAGAGAGAGAAAGAGAGACAG